CTCTTTATGTTGGTGGCTGTGCCATATTCATCTGTTAACATTTTAGTGATTCTACAGATTTGTTCCTTTGGAGGAATCACGAGTGATATCATGCTTGTACCGTTTCCACGAGCATCTCTCAATCTTTTGAGCAGCTTTTTCTGCCTAAACACTTCAATATCGTCGCATAGCATTAAGTGTAATAGGGCGTAAATTTTGTAAAATTGCTTACTGCAATAATAAAATCCCTACTACACAAAAATAGTGTTACAAGAAGATTCCAAGCAACCGTGAATGATGATTTGGAACAATTGATTATTCCATTCTTATTGCTGCGTCAGGTGAAAAAGCAAGGAATGCTTTAATTTCTAAATAAGGAAAAGAACTATAATTTTCACCCATCATCTAATCTACTAATGTATTAAACTATCTCCCAAAAGTATACAGAGAATACTTCAAAGAATCAGAGGAAAAGGTGTCACCTGACATTCACCAAACGGTTGCGCTGGAAGGGCCGCTAAGCGAGTGCCCTGCTGATACCGCAGAGGAACCCAATGTAAAAGAAGAATCTATTGAGGAGTCTACAGAGGTCTTACTGGTAATGAGGGAGTCACAGCACAGGGCTGACCGTGGTAGTGTCCAATACCTCTTCAGAAGCCTTAATGTTAATATTCTTAGCTTGATCTTTCTTAGCCTCAGTCATTCATTGTGGTAACCTTCTTTTGCATATTTTCCTAAAATAGCCAATGCCATAATCAAGATGTATGATTATACTCCTTGTTCATTATCATTTACGTAGACTTATCTGATTGATCATTTGTCATTAGTGGACTGGTCACTTTCCATTCTGTGCACAGTGACTAATAGGTTTTATTGCAGTATAACTTGGTGTTATTTTCAGGCCCCTCAGGGTCTTCTACCTGTTTAACAATTTTCTTCGAAGTTCCCATTTACTGATCGTGGGGTTAAATCCCATTTTCTTTTATACCTGTGATTTTTTATTTGTTTCTCAATAATCAATCAAACAATCACATGTCAAACTGCGGTCTCTCGGGGTTTTATCTTTAGGCGTAGCGTGAGCGGCGTTCGCCACACTTGGTGTTATTTTCCGTGTCTTCGTCTACCTTAATGTCTTTTACACCTTTCTTAGTTGAAGCCCTTTACGATCGTAGGGTTCGAAACCCTCTGATTATTTATACTTGTTGATTGTTTGTCTCTTATCAATTAACATGTCGTCTATTTGCTTTTAAGCGTAGGAGGAACGGTGAGCGCCACACTTGGGACACCGTGATTTCATATGCTGTTTAACTGGGTTTCCTCATCTCTTTCGAGATAATCCTTCTTTTGGCTTGCTCCGTGTTTGTTTGCTAAATAGGTTCATCTGTGACAACATCTTCAATTTGCATGTGAGGTAAAACGGGTTAAACGATGCCACTTCTTACTATACTGACCTAATATATTCACATCACCTTTATTATTTCTAAGTAGGTAATCTACAAGGGTAAAATATTACCAAAATTTGATAGATGCGATGATCACATAGCCCTCTACCACGTATACACTTGGTAAGTATGTGTTCTGATCATTTCTTTTTCGTATACTCGTTCTGCATATTTCCTATATCCAATACTTGTGATAAATTTCATTCAAATATCGATAAAATTGGCAGGTTCCATGACCTTTTTGCCACAATTACCATAACGGTTTTCTCAAACCCTAACAATCCAATATCATTACTAGGTTAGATGTAACATACTCAGTTACATCAACACATTCCACAACCATATTCTTTCTAATGACATACGTATCTTCTGTTTTTGTTGTTCTCACTCATTCTTCTAAATCAGGGTCATGTTATTTTATGCACAGTGTTTATTTACTATTGCTTTAAATAAATTCAAAATAAATAACCCATGGTTAAGGAACTACCACCGCGTAAGCACAACAAGATCGTGACATGGGCCGATCCGATTGCTGAGACCAGGTTGTTTGTGAAAGAACCGTCATCTGAAGACATGCGTGACATACCCGAGGACAGCGAGTATTATGCATATGATGACAGCGAGGAATATGACGTGTTAGAAAATGGAGGGATGAACCAGGGTTCAGGGGTGGCCCAGGTTACTAAGGAAATTGTTCAGGAAGAAGAGGAGCAGAAGGATCCAGAAACAACTGAGATCGCAGAACAGCCAAAGCAGGATCAGAATATTGATCAGGTTCAGGAGATAGAACAGGTTTTTACTGAAAGCAATACTATACTCTATGATCTCATAAGTAGCAGAGCTCAACTCAAAGATCTCGAACAGAACCTTGAAGAGACCAAAAAGAGTCTCAGAACGGTATTTGTTGCTCATGATGAACTAAAAGCAGATATTGATAGGAAGAACATGCTGCTGAAAGAGTGTACTGCAGAATCAGAGAGAAACAGATTGATGTACGTGAAAGCATATGAAACAGTATCTGAACTTACGAAATATATTCAGGTGAGAGAGCTGGCCAAAGCCGAGGACAGGGTGAATCCCGGCGTGCCAAATGAGCCAGTGACTCCTCCTAAGAAAAGTATGTCAGAAAGAACAAAAAAGAAGATCAAATATTACATCACAAAGGCGATTAAGAAATGTGGTACAAAACCAGTTCGTGTTACCATTCATAGGCGAAATAAGGCGCCTTGTGTGCTGATGCTAACACGAAATGAAGAAAACAAGATACAAACGCAGGTGATACAATCATGTTAATCGCATCCCCAAATACCCCAACACCCCTCTATTCCATTAAACTGTCCAGATTTATCTAAAATATTTTGATTATTTCTCCAATATCAGTTGAATATCTTCAATTGTTTTCTCAATCTCCTGAACCTTTTTCTTATTCTTCATATTCCCGTAACAATCAGCCATATCTTCAAGTATCGCACATTTTGCGAAATCAGAACCACAATAATCCAATGCTTTCTCATACTCAATCACAGCAGTAGCAAAGTCGTTATTGAATGAAAGGATATCAGCAGAATATTTGTGTATCTTAGCAAGGTAATCTGCTCTTCCCAACTTCTCGAAGTAGAGTCGCGCAGTCTCAAAACAGTCCCAAGCACACTCCAAATCCTCGTCATTTATCTCCATTTTGCTCTTCTTTGCGTTAAGCAACTTCAAATAGTCTTTCTCGCATTTAGTGAAGAATGATTCAGTCATACAGATTGCATATTCAACCAACACGTACGGATATACCTCGTGATCCGTACTCAATGCTTCTAGAATACCAAAATATATATCTGTAGCCTGCTTGTAGTTTCCGTGCACCGTGTAAAGTCGCGCCAATCGAATATTTTCCACTTCNTCTGCTCTTCCCAACTTCTCGAAGTAGAGTCGCGCAGTCTCAAAACAGTCCCAAGCACACTCCAAATCCTCGTCATTTATCTCCATTTTGCTCTTCTTTGCGTTAAGCAACTTCAAATAGTCTTTCTCGCATTTAGTGAAGAATGATTCAGTCATACAGATTGCATATTCAACCAACACGTACGGATATACCTCGTGATCCGTACTCAATGCTTCTAGAATACCAAAATATATATCTGTAGCCTGCTTGTAGTTTCCGTGCACCGTGTAAAGTCGCGCCAATCGAATATTTTCCACTTCTTCTTCCAAATTCATTAAATGGGCAAAAATGCCCAAAAATGGAAAGCAGATACGATCAAGACGAGCATAGCGTAGGACGGGCAATACGCGTTATGATGACGAATCACAACCGCAACAAACCAACTGACAGAAAAGAGATCCAGGATGCGATAGGCTGTATGAAGGAGAAAACAGAAGAAATCATTCACAAGGCAACAGAATACATAAAAATATTTGGATTGGAAATTGTGAAAGTGGGCGATAAAAAAGAGAAGTTCTTCATTGTAAATGAGACAAGTTATAGGAAGCAGGAGGCTGTATTCTATGGCAGAGAGGCGAGTAAGAATGAGATAGAGAAGCAAAACAAGAAGACCAATTCAAGTCAAGAGCAAAATGAGAGTATTCAAATAAGTACTCAGGTCCTTAGAACACAGACTGACACACAGGGTGATATTCCAGTAGAAAAACAGCAGCTTTATACTCTATTTGGGTTGATTCAGGCTGAATTAGACAAATTCAACAGCGTAGACATTCTAAAGGATTGCATTCTCTTTAAAAATGAAAATATCAGAGAGTACCTGAAAAAGGTGAAGGGAGAGGGATACATCAAACAGAGCGTAGAAGATAACGTTCTGAGCTATTCTCTTGGTTGGAGATTCTACGCTGAATACGGCAGATTCTTCAACATGAGCAAATTCTACAAAATAAAGAAAGGCAGCAGAATGTGAGCAATTGCAAAATTTACCCCAGAAATGGCAAGTACAAGCGATAAAATAAAAGAAATCGAAAACGAGATAGCACGCACGCAGAAGAACAAGGCGACTGAATTCCACTTGGGACTGCTGAAAGCAAAGCTAGCGAAGTTGAGGAAGGAGGCGATGACACCGAAGGGAGGTGGATCAACGAGCCACGAGGGATTTGATGTGGCTAAATCTGGCGTGGGCCGAATTGGATTCGTTGGGTTTCCATCAGTTGGCAAATCAACATTAATGTCCAAATTAACAGGAGTGAATTCTGAGGTTGCTGCTTACGAGTTCACAACACTCACTGCGATACCAGGCGTAGTACAGTACAATGGTGCCAAATTGCAGATGATTGATCTACCAGGAATAATTGAGGGAGCCAAGGATGGAAAAGGAAGGGGAAAACAGGTCATTGGTGTAGCACGATCGTGTTCTCTAATCATAATCTGCCTGGACGTGAGTAAGCCACTCATGCACAAGGCAGTAATAGAAAGAGAGTTGGAAGGTGCTGGAATTCGACTAAACAAGGAGCCACCGAGGATAAAAATCACAAAACGAGAGAAGGGTGGAATAAACATCACAGGTGGAAAATTCCCACCTGAAATGGTGAAACAAATTATGGGCGAATTTAGGCTACTAAATGCAGAAGTGACGATTCAGGGGAATCCAACAATAGACGAGTTGATTGACGTGGCTGCTGGAAACAGGAAATACATGCCGTGCCTATACGTTCTAAATAAGATAGACGCAATCAGCATAGAGGAGTTGGACATTTTGAGTCGAATTCCACATGCTGTACCAATTAGTGCAGAAAAAGGATGGAATTTCGACATGCTTTTGAAGAAGATCTGGGCTGATCTGAATCTGATCAGGATCTACGCGAAGCCAAAGGGACAGCCTGTTGACTACGACGAGCCTGTGATTCTGAGAGCCAAGAGACGAACCATCCTTGACTTCTGTAACTCGATTCATAGGGCCATAATGTCCAAATTCAAGTATGCGGTTGTATGGGGGACATCTGTGAAGCATCAGAAGCAGAAAGTGGGAAAGGACCACCTATTGAATGATTGTGACGTAGTACAGATTATCAAGAGCATCTAGAAAATTATCTCAATTCTATTGTTTAAGCTTACTTGCATAAAATATTCTAACCCATGGAAACTGCTGTAGAAAATAACGAGAGAACATTCTGCATCCTCCAGCACTCAAATGAAGAAGGAGAGACCACTAAAGGGTGGATGGAGTCGTTTGTGACCACTGGAGTAGTCACAAGTATCCCCCAATTGAACTATTTTCTCAATAAAGTTGAAGAGACTAAGCTTGAGAATCTCAATGACATCTACTTCTTCAAGGAGGGAACTAGACCGATGTGGGAGGACGAACAGAACCTGAATGGTGGCCGCTTGATCTACGAAATGAGTCTGAACAGCCCGAACATCCTGCGATACCTAAAAGCCTCCCTCATTTTCACGTTCATGGGCATCTTCCCCAATATTGTTGGAGTTGCCTGTAACGAGAAAGAGAAGAACTTCCGTATCTGCCTGTGGATTGGAGACAGTAGCGAGTCAGAGGAGATTGCTGAGGCCTGGAAGGGGATAATGAATGCTCAAATTGCACCCATTGTCTACATACCGCATAGGAAGCACAAGGAGTTTAGTAAGGGAAAATTCAGAAAAGATAAGCGAATGAATAAATTCTAAGCAACTCCTTTATGGCATCAATGAGAGTTGAAATCAACCCAATTATCCGTATCCTACTCTTCCAGAACATCGATAGAGTGAAATTTGTTAGACAAAGTAAAAGAAGAACTATGGTGAAAGTCACCAAGAAATCCAAAACCACTTCCCTAGTTCTCAAATCGTACACTTCACTTAACAAGAGTCCACTTACATCAAATCAATACGAAACTATCTAAACAGGCACCTGACTGAATTATTCTACCAAATCATCTGAATTATTCCATACAATTCACCCTATATAATGGTGACGTGCTTCTACTTCAGTTGCGGCCATATTCTCAGATGAGCTCCGGTACCCATCTGAACACCGAAGATAAGCCTGTGCAAGCCTACGCCAGTACTGAGTTGAGAGATCACTCGGGAACGCTGGGTGCTGCAATTTTTATCATTTTATCACCCACC